CGGTGGAGGGTTTTCTACCTTTGGTAGAAGTGCCGGTCTGGGGGTGGGCGTGTCGCCAAAGCTGCGCGTTCGGCGGCGCGCTGTCTTGTCCGGCTTCTTTTTGTCGATTGGCAGCATACTGATGTCGGTTGGCGGGTGGAGCGTGAGCGGCAGCAAGTTCAGCGACTTACTCAACTCGACGGCTGCCCAGTCCTCGGGTTGGTGGTCGTCTGAAGCGCTCTCCTCGCACTCCATCAGGCGGATGAATGTCCACAGCCAGCCCGTTAGCCTGTAGGATAACAGGCCGGAATCGGCGAGACGGGAAACCATCGCGAAGTCCAATTCATATTGGACCCGCAGTGACAGTTCCTCGGTCGACTGGGCGGTGAAAATGGCCGCCGCTTGGGCCGCAGTGGGGTCCAGAAGCGATGGCTCGGGGTAGATGGGCGGCGGCAGTTCGTCGTCGTCGTCCATGGTTGCGTTGGGTCGGGGGCTACGCCTGCGCGAACCTTGGCCGAGCGCAGCCTTGCGGCGCGCTCAAGGCCTGCGGCTGTGGGCGCGGCAGTCACCGCCGGCGCGGAATGGCGCCGGGCAGTCTCACGAGCGGGAAAATACACAGATTTTACCTCGGAGAGCTTGCGGGTGGTGGAGGTTCCGTGCAACGGCGTAGTACAGTCCTCTGAGAGAGAGCGAGGCATGACATTTCATTTAAGTCCTCTACGCACTATCCATCTGTATCTCTATCTCTTTTACGTGTATAGCGCTGTCCTGCATGCTGGATCCAGCAAGATTGATAGTGCGTAGAGGAGGTGCTACTCGTGCACACAAACGTAATGTCGAGCTTCTGTACGCCTCAATGTCATATTTGTACTCGTCACTTCAAATGTATTGCCGAGCTTCAGTACGCCTCGCCTCATTTGAAGTGGGACATTGTACTGGCTCAGTACAAAAAAGAGGCTACTCTTACAAACTCTTTTTCAAGTCGTGTCCTACCCAACACTAACTCCAAATTCTTCATTGTATTTATTGCCTAAAACAGTTACTTTTTTGTAACACGTGGTGTGGTAACCAACAAAATCGAGAACTGCTTCAGTTAGTTCAATGTTATAATATTTTAAGTTTTTTTTTTACGAAAAGCTAACTTTAACGAGCACTTTTTGAAAGTTTCATTAGTAAAATCACTTAAAGAATTGTCCGAACAAAATAACACGTGTTGCGACTCCAAAATAACGCTCACTGTTTACTAGAGTATCGCTGTCATTCTCTGTCATATGACTACCGAGCATGCGCACTTTCTGATATTCGAGGTCCCATTACATGCGACTGCCATGTCGTGTCCTTTATTATTACACGCTATACTCAATTCGGCTCTCTGTCACACATTTCCACTCGCGTTAAAATTAAAATCTTCAAAATTCGCAAACCCCTATTAGGACCAAGTTTTTTGCAGACAACCCTATATCACCGTGTTCGCAATAAAACAATGCTCATATTGATATAATTTTTTTTCGATTATCTAATCGAGTGAAGGTAACTGGCATCGACATACCTGTTTATACCTGACAACCGAGTAGTTTGTCCAGGTAAATAATAGGCAACCCAACGGCTGCACATTCTATACGTTTCATACTTTAAGTCAGGGTAAAAATTTTCTTATTATCTTGATGTTGCAAAAATAAAAAAAAAATCATTTCTTTTAAATAATTAAAAATTGTCTGTCTAGGATTTTTTTAGGCAACCCATTTTCAACATATTTTCTAACATACTAAATTTGTTATAAAATATGATTCATTCTATTATCAGCTCGGTGAAGATCGTTTTTAGTTCGGATCTTAGACTACGATTGAAAGTCATTTCTTTTTGCAAAGATCAATTCGATGTGAGTAGGTACTCATTGATAATATTAAGTTTAAAAATACAATTTTTAATGTTATGAATGTACCTACTAAGTCAAAGAGTTTTGTCGTTTCTGCTTTCACAAATCCTGCGTCCAGCATCAATTTAGTCAACAAAACCAATAACGGGAACCTTTTCTACAAGATACGAGAGTGTAAGATACATCTTTATAAGAAATAAACATTGGTATAGTTTTTAAGTAAAGTAACGGAAAATATTCTAGTGAATTAAGTTATTTTACAAATTTGAAAAAAAATAAGAAAATACGTAGATTCTGGGACTGAAGTTAGTAGATTTCCGGAAAAGGCCTGAAATACATAGATCTACGTAAAAAAACGTAGAGTTGGCAACACTGATCAGATGTTTTACGAGCCAGAATTGTAACTTTGAAGGAAGAAGGCTATTCTATGAGAGAAACAGTCGCTATTGATGGAATTGTCAGACTTTTCCGAGTAAACCATGGGCACCAATTTGTACTGGTTGAGGATAATGCGCCCGCACATCGAGTTCAACGAGTCAATGCTGCTCTCCAACAATACGAAATCACAAGGTTAGACTGGCCTGCCGGCTCTCCTGACTTAAGCCCAATAGAGCACGTGGGAGGCTTTTAAGCGAGCTGTTTGGAACCGGCAGCCACCACCCCAGACAGCTCAGGGAAGATGCTGTTCACGAATGGGACCGGTTAACACAAGAAATGCTGGATAACTTGATCCTCAGCATGCCCAGGAGGATCTCCACATGTGTTCGAGCCAGAGGAGCAGTTATTTTGTATTAGATAGACAAGAACTTATTAATAAAAGATTTTTAAGTTTGGTTCAACTATCTTTTTATTTCTACCAAAGTTCTATTACAATCGCCTTAGGATTGAATTATAAAATTTTTTATACTAAAAAATAAAAATAGTTATATATTTTAATTTCAGAAAGTCTATTTTAAAAATATATATATAACGTAAACATTTTCTCTTGCTTAAGTTAAACTTTATCAGCTTTTGCAAGAGATCTCAAACTTTTTTTGATGTGTGTACGTCTTGCACCTAGTAGCGGCGTCATCGGCGCTCAGCACGCTCACTTCTCTTCTAGCGATGTACTCTGAATCACGCACCACTCCCGGTCTATAGCTCGCGACTCCCGATCCATCACTAAACCGCTCCCGCTCCAAACTGAACACTCCCGATTCATCACTTACCACATCCGTTCTATCACACCGCTCCCGGTCCATAACTCTCGGCTGCTCCTGCTCCATCGCCCCCCCTCCCAGTCCATTACTCAACGTTCCCAGTTTAAAAGGACCACTTCTGGTCCATCATTCACTGCTCCCTGTCCAGCACTCGCGACACTCGGTTCATCACTCACCACTTCTGGTCCAAAACTTTAAACCAAGTCAATAGCCATGGCCGTCAGTTGCCATCCACCTACTTGCCCGTCTAGCAAGCAACCCACCCAGTTGCCAGCTGGTTGTGCAGGGAAAATCTTAGAATTATTTCGGCTAGCCCCCATACCATACCGGCCGAAAAAAAAACTTCGTTCTTGTTTTAATACCGGTTAGCAGTAAAATAATGGTGTCGATTCTGACATGAGGCAACAGTGAATCCTTGGCATTCTCTTTAAAGAATTAAAGGACAGAGGTGTCGATTCTAGCATGATTCTCTAAACCTAAACTTAAATTTGACAGCAGTATATCCTTGTCTTTCTCTATGCAGAATGAAAAGTAGAGACTGATGTTTTTTTTTAAGTTTAGGGAATCAACGCAACTAAGAACTAAAAAGCGGAATATTATAATGTACTCTGAATGCAACTTTACATTGACCTGTCATTGCTGTATAATTTTGAAGTTTTGTTTATGTGGTTTCCATCGCATGTTGGTGTGAAAGGAAATGAGAGGGCTGACTTTTTAACTACAACTGTAACCAACTCTTCAAATGTTATTCCTGATTCTAGTGCTCACCTTAATATCTCTGTGCCATGTACAGACATAGGGTACGGGTGCGGCCAGAGTGCATTCAGATTCAGATTCCGAAAACAAGCGCGAGAAATAAACAGTGTAGTCGAAGGGTACGGCCAGTGCACTCCTGTAAACAGTGTAATCTAACAAATAAACAGTGTAGTCTAAGCAGGTTGCCTGCTTTTTCTCGCGCTTTGTTTTCTGAGTCTGAATCTGAATCTGAATGCACTCTGGCCGTAGGGTGCGGCCAGAGTGCACTCAGATTCAGATTCAGATTCTGAAAACAAGCGCGAGTTGCCTGCTGCCACTATGGCCACCCTGCTTTAACTACACTGTTTATTTCTCGCGCTTGTTTTCTGAGTCTGAATCTGAATCTGAGTGCACTCTGGCCGTACCCATAGTCCCCATTTTAAAGAAAAGGGCCATTGACATATGGAAAATGCATTGGAATTACACTATACAAAGTGAAAATAAAGGTTTGTGGTATGCTGTATACAATGTCCCTATTGGAACTTCGCCATGGTTCTGTAAAAGTCCTAGCTACATCAATAGACAATTTTATACCACTATTCTAAGGCTCCGTTTTGGACACTATCGTTTAAATTGTCATCTCTTTCGTTTACAAATGGTGCAGAGTTCACATTGTAATTATTGTGACTGCATCAGAACAGTCCTTGTCTCATGTGTTCTTTGATTGCTCATCCTTTGGCATTCAGCGCCTTGTGTTGATGGATGAGCTTATCGAAATATATGGATAATCAGAGATGGTTCCGCGCTCAATTCAGGATCTTCTTCTATAGCTGTACATATTTATCTTTATTTAAATTTATTATTAGCACTGTAGGGCAAATTTAAAATTGTAGGTTATGTCATGTTACTCATTATTTTGTTTTGTCGTTGTAAATATTTATTGCAGTGTTCAAATATTTTGCTACAGTCTTTATAACTTTGAAATGTTTTTCTTTTCTGGGTATTGTTATCTTCTGTCATTATGACGGTCTTTTAGTTGCGTTCTTTAAAATATATAAATATAATTATTCTTCAATATAAAATAAACAAACTAAAGATGAGGCTGTATGGGCTTTAGTTCCCCTTGCCTTCTCTAAAAAGGAACAATATTTAAAAAAAAATAGTGCTAGTCATGAGATGACATTTGAGTGAAAATCAAACTTTAAACTCTTACTTCGATCATTTTTTAATTTATTATTTTATTACCATTTAATGTTGAAAATTAAGTAACAGTTTCACTGAATCAGTAACAGGGACGATACAACTACAGTTATGTCATCATGGATAATTTCCAGAAGAACCCGGTCAAATTATATATTCAAGATATATTTCGCGCCAACCGAACAACGCAAAACAAATACATTTACGAAATGTTTGGTTTGACTTTCAAGAATATTATGATCCACGGCGTTGTAACAGCAGTGTACAATATTCTGAATACATCCCTTAACTTTGAGTTGAGCGATGCAACAGGAACAGTGCAGGTGTACTATGATAAATCAAAAAATAATAATAACATTGGAGCACAAACAATGAAAGGACTATTCTACGACTTTGCTGAAGAGTCTAAATTCGGCAATAGTAATATTCAAATAATGAACACCTTGATGGATCGTATTGTGAAGAAAAACAAGCATGAAATCAAAGAAGGCATGTATTTGTTGGTTATTGGCGATATATTTGTTGATGACACTCGTAATGTAAGAATGGTTTCAGGATATCAGTGCAGTGAAACTTCAGCAGAGCGGGATGTCGCGTGGATGGAAGAATTGATGTACCTGTATGACAAGTATTATTTGTTGAGCAAGAACTGACTGCATGCTTGTATCATGACCTAAGATTTAGCTATGTACTTAGTAAATATACATTCAGAGATTTAAATGAATTAACTATACATATAATAAAGTAGTAGGAAAGTCAAAACTGTATATTGAATATTTTTTTAAAAGAATACTTGGGGTGTGGTCTACAATCGATACCAAAGCCAAAAATAGAGTTTTTACATAGTTTTCTGTTTGTCTGTATGTATGTCCTGGATAAACTCAAAAAGTACTGCATGGATTTACTTCAAATTTCGCATGAATATTATTATGAAGTCGGGTGAACATAAAGGCTACATATTATCACGCTATCACCTACTGGGAACAAGCAGTGAACCTTTATTTATAACTAACTCCAAGCATACAAAGTCATGGGTAGCTGCTAGTTCTTAATATAACTCCAAGGAATCATCATAAAACAATAGTGATAGGTTATTTGTTTCTTAGGTTTTCACGCACATCACTCATTAAATAAAACTAGTTTTTATGGGTTAATGCACGAAACGTTTCGTGCATTAACCCGTAAAAACTAGTTTTATTTAATAGTGATAGGAATGAATAAAAAACTTTCACTTATTTTGGCTCAAGATTTTAGCATGCTTTGGTTTGTGAAATCTTAAATAGCCTTACATGCTAGTCACTTTTTTGTAGTACAAATAATAAGTTATAGAATGCCCAACTCAGACTGTTTGGTTTTGTGAGAATTAGCAATTTTTAAGTATTAAATAATGGATAACTATTGTACCTATCTATCTACTAGTCTTAACTTAATGTACATATTTTTAAGATACATACAATTTCTTGTTTAATAAAGTTACATGTCAAATTATTTAATTTTTACACTGAAAAGTGAATTACTATTTATTTACATACCAAACAACCTACTTATTTTTAAAACAAACTTTGTTATCTACTTATTTAATGTGCAAGTCTGTTGTCTTTATCATTTGCACTGCTTGCTGATAAAAAGATCAAATGCTCTGTTAATTTAAGTTTATTACCGTCATGTGCTACCATTTAGGGCTCTACCTGATCTTACACTGTTGTCCTGTACCTTTCTTGTAAATAGATATGGCCTAGTCACAAGATTTGTCTGTAAAACTACAGATTGCCTCTCAGTCATTCATAACTCTTAAAAGGATGATTTCCATTGCAGAAATAGTTGCATAGTACAACATCTTTATGTAGGCAGTATAAATATTAATACATATTGGCATCACTATGTATTAAATATGTACTCTATGGTGATGTGGGTTTTTTCTTATTATTCTGTTTTTAGTGTTTGCTGGGTTTTTGAATGTTTTACAATCCATTAAATCGACCTTGCACAGGTCCTGCCAGAACAATAGCGCCGACATGGTGAGACAAGTTTTTTCTTTATCACTATGTCAGCTTATGCTGAGGCAGGGTCCTGGTTTACCGTCTATAGATTAAGTTTTATTTTTGTCATTTTCTATGTTTATGATGGCCAATAAAGATTTTTTGACGTGACAACGTCTTAAATTAGGTTGCGGCTGGGAGTCACTTATGAAAAAGTGTAACGCTCGGTAACGTTACGATGAGTCTCTCGTGTTAAGTTTAAGTTTACATGTACAATGTTTTAGTAAACAAAATATATTTCTATAGTTAAAATTTGTGCAATTCTTATTTTCATTCAATTCCTTGTTCCTATTGTGCAATTTAATTATATTCATATCAATAAATATTCTACCGAGAAAAAGACGTTGTCACGTAAAATCTTCGCCCGTAAAACCGACTTTACAGGCAACCATTTTTTTTTTTCATTTTCACTATACAGATTGTGTGTATTATTATACAAGGGGTGGCTAAAAAGTTTTGAGCCTAAGGTATTAAAAATTCTGATAGAAATGTATAAAAAATTATTTTTCAATATACTCTCCAATTCAATGCACTTCCTACATTTATTAAAGAGCTTGTAACCTAGTAAAAAAATATTCCCCATTTTTGCCTTCAAAATGTTTATTTACGGCCACCTGCCCTTGTCACTTGAAAATCTTGGTCCTCGGAGGTCATTTTTCTAATTGGGAAAAAGGTAATAATGGTACTAAATTCCATTAGTTGTGATGGAATTTCGGGGTAGTTTTGATGTGGGGGGGAGGAGGGGGTCTCCCCTACTAAAGATTTTAGTCGAAAATGCATGTTTTTTTTAATTAACCTAACGTAAAAATTCATAATTTTTTTAGGATGCAAGGACTAGGGAAGTAAGAACCAGTAGTTCTGCCTTATCTCCGGCGCTGCGGGAATAACACCTCCGGCGGCGACCAGCCTCAGGCGCTACGATCGCACGATGCTTGCGGCTTTGTCACAGCAGGCGGGAGCTGCTCTCCCTACGCGCCTCCGGGCTCTAAAAACCACTCTAGGGGTAGGGCAGACCAAGACCACGGCGTGTCGGGGTTGACCAAGTCGGTTCTGAATTCAAGATTGTTGTAAAGCCACATTTACCTTTTTTTCTAGATGTACTATTTCTTATTTACCAAGTAAATAATAGCAAATATACTTTTTACCGACGAACACAGACTGACTGACATTTCTCAAAACAAACACAAAACGGCGGGACATATGTCATTTTGACAGTAGTACCAACATAATCAACATATTTTTTACCATAGACAACGAGAAACATGTTATTTCTGCATGAAAAAATGGGAGCACTGAACAAAATGACTGTCAAAATTGACTTTAACCTACAAAAATATTAATTTTCAATATTTTTTTTCTCGAGTTCTATTCGTTTCCGAATAAAAAGATTTCGTGTGTGTGTGTTCCTAATAATTAATACTTTCCGTGACAATAATCTTAGCTCGCTACTCAACTACAACTAATGGAAAGCTGAGACGAATAATCGCTAAGGGCCAGGTCTGGACTGAAGGGTGGGTGGTTTAATCTTCAAATCCTGTTTGGGCGAAGGCACGCCTTGCAACTCTAGCAGTTTGGACGTGCGGTTTGTCTTGAGGACTCCTTTTGTCGACAATCACTAGACGAATCTTTGTCAACAATGCAGCATAATAGTTGCAGTTCATTGTAGTATTTTTGAGAAGGTAGTTGATGAACAAAATTCCTTCACACTCTCAAAAAACAGTGGCCATGAGCCTGGATGCCATCTTTCCACTTTGAATTTCCGTGGCAGCTTTTCTCCCTTCTTTATCCACTATTGCATGCATTGCATTGATTCTTGTTTTGACTCCGGATCGTATTGCCTAATCCATGTTTAATCGACAGTAACAAGGCGAGAAAAACCATTGTCAGGATTATAGCCACAGATGTCCAAAAACTCCTCCGAAGTGGGGACTTGTCAAGTGGCGTGAGCATTTTCGGCACCCATCATCGCGCACACACGCGATGGGTGCGTCACCCGACATTCTAATACAAAAAATAGAAGATTAAAATAACTTAAGACTTGGCTGTATGAGCATTGTTTGCTTTGCTTTCCATGAAAAGGGAGAATCTTAAATAATAAAAAGGAATGACATTGACATTTTATTCTCTTCAGCTGCGATTCAGTGGTGTCGAGTTTTTGTGTTAATTTTGCGTTTTTTTAATATTAATCAGGTCTCTACATACTTTGTATCATATTACACTCCACCTTGCCTACTTTTATTAGATGTAACCACATTTTTTTTCAATTTCACAGTCTTAGTTATTGATTCTTGGAGGTTACCTATAAGATATCAACGTTGCCCATCGTTTAATTTCAGAACCTTTGATTATCAAAGTTCAAAACCATGTCTGGCCAGGGTATATCGCCCGAAGAAGTGGTCTCACTATGCCAAAATCCAGAGCCTTCGACACGTGTAAGTAAATGACATTCTAAAGGAACAAAAGATAAGACCAGTTACAAGAACGTTGATAAATGTTATCAACATATTTACATGTCATTAATATTTTTTTCTACATAATGGGATCTGGAGGAGCTTGATGGCGCGGGTGGGTTAAAACTGTACTTCCAGGGCCCAAAAGGTGATTTTTCTGGCGTTTCGCCGGCCGCTGCCGTGGCACGCTCGCTTTGCTCGCTCACAACACTAACCTAACCTAGTGTGAAGTACCACCACTTGGGCCCTCGAAGTACAGTTTAGCCCAAAAATCTTCTATCTCGAGATCCTCCGTGCTTCGGAAGGCACGTTAAGCCGTTGGTCTTGGCTGTATCTGCAGTCGTTAGCACCCACCAATCTGCACTGGGTCCGCATGGTGGGTAAGGGCCTAGTCTCCCTATTGCATCCATAGGGAAAGCCGGTGCCCCAGCAGTGGAGTATGAAATGGGATCTTCAATTTTTCCCCTTATATAAGGGTATTAAAGCCATAATAATCATAATTACATACCTTTACGTTTTTTTATGTCAGAGTTGAAAGATATAGTGAAACAATTTTGTATTAAGTCAGAAAGGGAGATAAGATATTGCAAGTTATTAATTACTTTATCATGTTTATTTCATATGTTTGTAAAAATATAATCTTAATAAATGAATTCTGTAATTAAAGTAACAATCATCATTAATCGTCAAACATTTGATGACCATGGTGTTGTTGACTCGAGAGGTCCCCGGTTCTAATCCCGGTGGGGCAGATGTTTTCGTGATGAATGTTTAATGTGTATTTCTATATAAATATACTTATATATGTACTGTATATGTATTCTATTCATTACCCTAGTATCCCATAACACAAGCCTTACAGTGCTTACTTTGGGGCTACTCTAATTGGTGTGTGTTGGAAATATTTATTTAATTTTTTATTTTAATCAAAATGAATTATTAATTTACACCCCTTTCTATTAATTACTTATTCAAAAACTTCCATCATCTGCTTATTTATGATCCATACAGATCGGACACTAAGTAGTAAGAACTATGTTATGACCCGACACATACACACACATTCAATAGAAAATTCATTGTAAAACTGTAAATATATACACTGAAAAGTTTATCTTGAAATTATTTAAAATCAGGAAATAACATGACAAATATACTTTAATGCATCTGCAGCTAAATTGCCTTGAACATAAGTGTATTTTAAAGAAAGTCTTTTTTTTTTGATTTTTCAATCAAATAGAAGTACTTACTTCTACAGTTTAAAGTTTGTTATAATTT